GGAGGGAGGGAGGGAGGGCAGGAGGGAGGGATGCGGGGGCGGTCCGGGGCGGTGCTTCCGCGCGTGTGGCGGTGCGGGGCGCGGGTGCCCGTGGGGCGGTGCGGGGCAGCCTCGGGCTCTGTGTGTCCGTGTGCGGTGGGTGATGAGCTTGTCCGTACGCGTGGGGGTGGGTCGTGTGTGTGTACGCGTACGCGTGTGTCACTGCGCGTCCCCGCGTCTGTCCGTGTGTCCCCGCGCGGAGCACCTTCCCCGGGCGAGAGGCGAGCTGGCGGAGAGGGTAAAAGTCCAAGTCCGTCCGTCCATTCCCCCCGCCACCCCGGGAGGAATTCAGCTCCGCTCCGGTGTGTTTACACTCACCATCTGCTCAGGGATTTGTACGTATTTTTTTCCCCTTTCCCGGAGGGCGGCGGAGCCCTCTGATTTCACTTCCTCGTCCTTTTTTTTTTTTTTTTTTTCAGAAGAGATGTGTTTTGTAATTATTTCCCCGTTGCTCCTTCGGCGTCCCGGCGCGTTCCTGGTCCTAAGGAGGGAACGAGGAAATGAGGTTTAAGAAGCATCTTCACGCCAAAAGCAGGTCTCGGCTGCACCGCTGTAAGAGCAGAAGTGATTTCCCTGGAATATCGGGTGAGGGCAGAGGTCAATTACGTGGTGTCTAGGTGTAATGAATTAAGTTCCTTATTCAATTCAGAAGGTGAAGGTAAAACAGAGGAATAACCACGTTCTTTGTGGCTAATGCTTAAGGAATATGACTGAGTTTTCATACCCTGTTTTTTCTTGCCAGTGTATACAGAATCTCTCCTGTATCACATACCGAAGTGAACTACCTTGCCTCATTAAGAACATTTAGGTAAAATGAGTGTCAACTCAAAAGTGGCAGGCTGCAAGTATGTGCCTTATCCCCTCCTATACCAAAAAATAACATGCATAACTCTTTGCACTGAAGAAATGCAGACTTCTGTCTCAACAGGAATAAAATATGTTCATTGTGTAACATCAGTGCTCCTCGTGAAACTGAAGGACCCAAAGAAATTTCAGCTATTAGGCTTATATAGAGAAATGTAGGTCAGAATGAAGTCAACGAGAGTTTTGAAGAATTTTGAGTAAAAAAGATTTCCATAAAATACAGCTACAACTTAAGAACAGCAATGATATTCTGCTGAAATTCTGAATAAGAATAGTGTGAAAGCACAGAAGTCAGTGTCATACTTAGTATGAAAGTATCAAGAAACTGAATAATTATAAATATGTCTTTACCAGAGCTAAGCTTTCAAACAAATGAGTTCACCATACCTAATTATACTTAAATATAACTGTCAGTCTGTTCAATATGTTCACAAGTCTGTTCAATGAAATGTAATAACCAAACCTAAAGGTGTTTCTGTTTCTTCTTTAGCCAGATAATAAACCTAAACCAGATAAAATGTATTACAGTCACAGAGGAAAGTTTGGCATATGCAGCACACAGCAGCACCACAAAAAATGCTATATGAGAGAATGGAGAGAAATAGATTTTAAGTAACCTGTCATCCACATTTAAAAGGCAAAAGATTTGATATGACACCACCTCAACTGTAGATGTTCCTTATTGAAAGTACCTACTTTCACAGTTTGGGAATTTCAAATGAGAGTATGCAGTGAACAGATCATTTTACTGAGAGTTCATAACCCTGCAGAGTACTTAACCGTGTACTCAACTCCATTGCCATGAGTCATCTCAATGAAGATGAGGATATTTGCCATAAGTAAAATTATGGACCTGCTTAGCTGAGACAGCCTTGAATTTAGAAACAGAGGAATCCGTGTTTTGCTGAATCAGGCATCTCCTAGATATATTCAGCTGAAGGTTCACAGAGCCTCCTAATGGTTAACTTCTATAAGCTCTTCAGCATGCTTTGCCCTGAAAGATGAGCTCCTGTGATTAAGCAGAACTTCCAGACACATTCACAAGTGATGCATCCAGTGAAGCTGTTGAGGCTTTGATCAGACCAGTGACTCAGGCAAACGAACAATAGAGTCAGCAGCTAGAGGTTGTATGGAACAATGTCACCTTTTCCAACATTAAACTGTGTTCAATTGATTTGGGGTGGGAGGGGAAGCCCCAAACATTGTCATAAGCATAAACATTGAGCAATGCCTGTTTTTAAATAGGTTTGCTAGCTGAGGCCCCAGCAGGTACCTATAGGAAGTACTGGAAGAAGAACATGTGTATTCACCACACCCTGGATCTGCCCAAGCACATGTAAGCTGATTCTCTTCCCTCCCCACCTCCCCCCGTTTCCTTGTGGTGTGGCCCTGGTGACTTCAGCAGAAAGCTGCTCTGTGTGACAGGGTGTTTCACCAAAATCTTCATTAGGTTTTGCTGGCGCAACAAAGCGTTTAAAGGAAATTTCAGATTCAGAGATGTGTGGTTTTGCCAGGAATAAGACATTCTCATTGACTGAGAAAAAAAGGTCATGAGTCACTACAATTGAAACATCTGATTCCCTTGCATTATTTGTCTGCTCTTTGCATTCTCTCTGTTTGCATTCATGCCTTGTTTCCTGACCAATGATTTCACATTATCCCCATGCTTGATGCTGCCTTCTTCCAAAAAAATAAGAGGGATTCGTGTTTTTCACACTTTTAGCACTTGTTTTTACTGTCTCCATATGTATGGATGCATCACAGGCAGGTACAGGGGAAGCTGAGACGTGAGATCAAATCAGTTTCAACAGCTACATCCAGCAGGGTTGAGCATGGCCTCAAGGCCTCAGCCCTTCACCAAATAGGCATCTCTGTATTCTTGAGACAAGTCTTCCTGCACAGAGAAGTGCTAATCTGCCTTATTCAATAGACTGTACACTCAGTGGTTGTCTGCAGTAAATTTGGGGCTGGTCAGAGCTATAAACAGTCCTTTTGGAGTAAACCAGATTAGTCTGTTTTGTAGGAGCATTTTACAGGCCAAAAAGGAACCAGTTCTGGAGAACAGCTAAGTATGCCATGCAGTGACTCGTGACCACGGTCTGGGAGAACAACCTAAACTTGGCACTGGGGTACTCTGAGGCATCAGTCCAGGGGTTGTATGGACTTCACTAAAGTTTTTCTCTAATGATACTATTAGAGCCAGGTTGGCATTAGGGGTATTTCTATACCATAGTGACCACAAAGCACTCTGGTCGGGTCCTGGTTTACCTTACCATCAGAGGACTGTGCAAAGGAAACCTCCTGTACCAAGTTGCTTCCACTCTCCTTTCAAAAGACATCTGTTCAGTGAAGCATTGTCACGCTAATCAATATGTATTGGTTTTGTATTGCACGCAATCATATCCACTTACACCTTTGGAGGAAGGATTAATCTAGTGACCTTCCATTTACTGTATAGTGCCATGTATGTGCAATATACCAAATAAATACTGAAACTGGTCAGTTTTTGTTAAAAGTGATGAATTTTATCGCCCTAACACTGAAATCTCAAAGGATGTTGAAGCCAACTTTAGTTAGTCATAAAAGAATAATACTCTGAAGCAGTTTTCAAATTACTGTTCACGCATTTTGTTCCCCTCTTTTAAACAGGCTGGAAGTTGATTTATACTCTGTCTTTTGGCTCCCTCAGCACCAATGGCAAAAACGACATCACTTTTTAGAACTATAACCATTTTCACTACTGAGGCCAGAAAGAACAATTACAACTAGAAATACAGAATTTCTATTCATTCAAGAAGATAAATGCTCCTTACACTTCAAAATTTAGTTGATTAAGAAAGGTTATTTGACTCTCCCTTTGATAGAAAATCTCCAGTTTGGCATTAAAAAAGGATCAGTCCCCATACTCTGGCTTTTCTCCTTGTTTAGTCTTTTGAAACAGTTTCAGTTCACCTATTTTGGCTTTGTTATTTCCTTTCAAACAGTTAATGCAGATATTGTCATCATTCATTGCTAGAAACTGTGACACCAATGAATGTATATCTGCCACAGAAGGGCAACAAAAAGATTTCTCATTAACAAACCAGCTTTGTAAATATATTTTTCTAGTTAGTCTGATTTTAAACACTGTCAATATGCCGGTTTCTTGCTCTACTGTTATCAGTATAATCAAAAGAGTAAAAATCTCATCTGCTCCAATATTCATATAAATTATATTAGAGGTAAGTTTGTTTACATTTCCATAGAGAAATACGCCATAACTGGAGAATGCAGTTTTGTATAAGTGTAAGTTTATTTATTTGTTTCACTGAAACTGTCTTGGTGAAGAAGATAACATTACTAACTCAGAAGGATATTTCCCTGGTAAAATATGTGCACACCGACTGAGGATCCAATCCTGCAGTAGGTGAGCAAACTCCTCATTCTCCGTTGTAATCCCCAAAACTCCACATGGATACATAAACCTGAAGGACTCTGAAGGACTTGAGCACTATATTTTCACAAACAGCATCTAATCAAAGCCTCCAATGGCTGCCTTGTCTGTTTGCATGCCTTTTTATTTGAACAACAGAAGTCTGCAATAATGTGGTTTTACTTTTCAGTCTGAGCTCTTCAACTTGAAGGATCCCCTTGACAAAATATTTTGGTTCTCCAGGCTACCAGGGTTTATTTGTAAATTGTCTGTTCAGCTTTGTAATCTAACTTAAATTGTGGAAATATTTTGGTTTGTCTAGGGATTTTTTAAAGATTATTTTTATACTTTTACATGTTTGGCAAAATTGAAGTTGACAAGCATTCTTTTCAGCCTTATTATTTATCACTTGTACGAAATAGGAAAAAAAAGGAAATCTGCTGAAAGGGAAAACTATATTTTGATTTGAAAAAGATTGAGTGCTAGAATCAAAAATGTAGTCTGAGGGTGGTATTCTGGACCAGAAAATAGAGGATTAAAAAAGAATAACTTGTGCTGCATTTTGTGGTGTCTGTGATTCCAGTGCATCATCACAGCAGGAGCTTTCTTCGGTACCAGTGAACCTGGGGGGGAGGGCCTGAGCAAATTCTGCATTTAAGTCTCATTAATTCAGTTTGCCTTGGCCTAAATAGGACCTCAAGTTGCTCAGTTAACATGCAATTATGAAAGTTTTCCTCATACAGTGAGCAGTAACTTCTCTGTTTGCAGACAAAAGACCATAGACGAGACAAAAAAATGAGGTAGACATTATCTGAGATTAGGCAGGGAAATGTAGAATACCCAGGTGTAAACATTAATACACCAAAACGTATAGGGTGCACACTTCTATTATGCAGTGTAACAGCTAAAAGATCATTTACTGAAAACGCTTCCAGCACAGGTGGACTGCAGGACCCTTGGTCTGTTGTTGAAACTGTTACAGATACTCCATACCACAGGTTTGGCTTGGTACTGTTCACCCAAGTGGAAAGTCAGCTTTCTATCACTCCTTTCCCAAATTCTACCATTCACTTCTGCTGCTTCTTTTCACTTCTCCCCTGAAATGCCTATTCTTCATGTGCCCGTCAACCAATACTGACTTTACAGAAGAGAAAACATTTGTTTCTCCACTTCATCAGCTTACTAAATTTAAAAAAAAAAAATCTGCTAGTTAGAACATCTAGATAACCTTCAAATATTGGTCAAATAATAATTAATATCAAAATCAGAAGAATACATCATGAATTTTATATTAATCAACTGGCTTGTACGATCTATAACCAGCATCTTGGCAACACCCAGAAAAATGAATAAGTTCATTCAATTTCTGATATTCTTCCACACAACCTTTCAAGTTTGATCTTCACAAGGAGGAATCTTCCTAGAAAAACATACTGGAAATAAATACATAGTTCTGAGTTCTCTCATGCATTATCTCTTTGTATCCACGATGCAGTGGTCACATGGGCAAAAATTTGGAAAGCTATATTTGGATGGTCACGACTGCTTTTTCAGGAAGGCAAGGGATGTGGTCTTTGTATAAAACACCGGTTCCATATTTCCCCAAGCACAGAAAAAACCACATTAGTTTTTACATCTTTAGCGGTCAAACAAACCAACCTGTGGCAGACCTCAAATGTCCCTACAACAGTAAAGACATACCACATCAAAATTAAAGTATTTTAGACTTCACTGAAACTTACAATTTTTTAATCTAGGAGGCAGATTGTTTAGGGTCTATTAGAACATGGTGTGCCTGAATACTGTGTGCACATTCCTGTGCCCTGTCTGAGGCTGCAGGTGGAGAATGGACATCAGGGACTAAAAGAATCAGCAGCCCCTTGCTGAGCTAGGGTTAGAAAAAAAGCTCTCAGCCTGACCTCATTACGTTTTCCACAGTACCACCTTTACCTGGTATTTGCTGCCACATGCAATGCAATTTCAGGCCAATCTGTGTGAATTCAAGATAGCATTGCAGAGTAGCATTTGCATGGAAATTTCCAAATTGGCACCAAAGTCTGAAAGAGGTTGGTGCCTTGCATTTCACTTCAGGTTGCTCTTGCAGCAGGGACAGGTTTGCTTCATCAACCACTACGCTGGCTTGTTTGATCGCAGGGCTCCAGGAGAGAAGGCATCAAGCCACCAGCTCTCACAATATGCAATCAATCTGAGATGCAAAGACACGCTAAGATGCATCCCTTTGCACATTCATGTCTATTATGCCTAACTTCATACTTAGTATTTATGGAAGGAAGGGCATTTTCTTTATTCAGACATCTCATTGTAAAGTCAGTTTCCAAAAATATTCAAGTCTCTGTTAAAGATGGACAAATGCTGAAACCCATGTTGTGATTTTGATTTAAGTGCAAGGTCTGCTGCTAGGGACTGGAAATCTAGTCTGCTTAATGAATTTAATGGGTTTTATCTTACATCCTAAGGATATTTATTATCCATTGCATACTCTATTATTACACAGTATTGTTATGAACATCACAGACACCCCTGATACATAGCTCTACCATAGTTAGTATGAGAAGAAAATCAGCACACTTTCCCAAATACAGAAATGCTGAGTGTTACCTCATGCACTGAATATTTGAACAGGCTCCTGCTTTGGCTCAGGTCCCTAAAGCACATATCCCTTCTTAGGGAATGTGCATCTAGAAAAGAGTAACAGTGCCTTGTAGTAACAGGGCAAGTCTGGTGTTCAGCGAAAGGCACCAGCTCCCTACTGCACTTCTCCTGTGGAGGTTTCTATCCCAGTCGGTGATCAGTTTAAATTACCTGCAGGATGATGCCAGAAAGGTCTGTTAATTTATGTTATTTATAGTCACATAAATGTGATAACTGGTATTAAACAGTCAAATTTTCAGTAGTGTGGACTT